CCCAAACCCGCCTCCGCCGCAATGCTCGCCCTACGACCGACAATATACAAATTAAACCTACCGGCGGCCATTATCGCCGCCGCCACCTGCGCCGTCCCGTCGGCCGCCACTTCCTCGTACCTCCCAGATGTATTCTTCGACTGGAAGTGAGCCACCGATTTTTCGTCGTCGGGATCAGGATCTCGCTGCAAAAACCGAAGAACGAGGAGAGAGATTCCGGGATGCTCCGCCATTCTCAAGCCGTAGTCGAGAGCCTCACGATCATCTGGACCGCCGAAGAAAAGCACAGCCATTGAATACGATACGATGCTGGATGCTACGAGGGCGGCGCCGCCGAGCCCGCGGTCGACGAGCACAGCAACAGAGCACGGTGCGCCGCGGAGAACTCGCTCGTTGATTTGGTGGTGTGCTTCGCCGATCGACTCTAGCCGGCCGTCCATTCGCTGGACTTTATGGAAGGGAAGAATGATTAGCGCGACGCGTTTCTGCTCTGCGCTGGCTATTATGTCTTCGTGGATGGTGTTGAGGTCGGAGATGGCCGTCATTGGGCGAATGGCGACGCTGCTGAGCTGACGGTATGCTTCAAAGGCGACGACCATTTGGTCGATATCGGCGTGGGGGGAGTTATGGCGGCGCCATAACGGGAGGCCGTTGTGGCGGGCTTTGTTGACCATGAAAATGGCGGAGGAGCGTTCGGAGAATTCCATCAGGTGCATTGCGTAGACGATGAGGCGGCGGCGGTGAGTGCCCCGGGATGATTCGATGAGGTTTATTAAAGTTGGGATGTTCCGGCTACCGTGGAAGCAGGCGAGGATACGGAGATCATGGAAGAAGTTATCGCCATGGCTGATGGTTCGGTGTTTGTGAGGGGTCGCGGAGAGTTGGCGGGCGGGTTTGTAGACGGCCATTACGGTGGGAGTAGTGATGAAGGTGGTGAAGAGAGCCATTAGGACGAGAATGGCAAAGCATTCATCGTTCAGAACTTTGCGGTCGCGGCCGATGTTGAGGACGATGAGTTCGACGAGGCCTTTGGTGTTCATGAGAAAACCGAGCGCGAGGGCTTCTCGAACGGGGAGGCGTGCGAAGAAAGGGGCGAGGAAGGTGCCCAACACTTTTCCGAGGCAGGCGTTAGTTATAACGAGGACGAGGAGACCCCATGAGCGGGCGCCGGAGATGGTGGCGACGTTTGTTTTTAAGCCGCTGGAGACGAAGTAGAGGGGGAGGAGGAGAGATGAGATGAGGTCCTCTAGTTTTTCGATGAGGACGGCGGCAAAAGGTCCGTCCTTTGGGACTAGGACGCCGACTACGAAGCCGCCGAAGAGAGCGTGGATTCCGATGGCATCGGTGATGAAGCCGGCGGCTAGGACGATGGTGAGGGTAGCGCAGATGAAGGATTCCCGGACGGGTTCGCCGGCAGGTGAGCATTGTACAGCGAAGGAGAGGGCGGGGCGGAGGAAAATGGTGGCGCCGATGACGAAAGCGGCAGCAGAGAGGAGGACCCATAGGGTGGTGAGAGGGGAGCCAGAGCCGGAGAGGGCGATGGCGAGTGCAAGGAGGATCCAGGCGGTGACGTCGTTGACGGCGGCGGCGGACATGGCAATGCGGCCGAGGTCGGTGGTGAGGAGTTTGAGCTCGGCGAGGATGCGGGCGAGGACAGGGAAGGCGGTGATGGAGAGGGCGACGCCCATGAAGACGAGGAAAGGAGCTGATGAGCCTTCGGGATTGAGGGTGGAGCGGAGGACGACGGAGGTGCCGATGCCGATGACGAATGGGAGGGAGATGCCGGCGATTGCGATGGCCAGGGCGGGCCGGCCGGTGCGACGTATGGAGCGTAGGTCCAGTTCGAGGCCCACGAGGAAGAGGAAGAAAAGCAGGCCGAAGTTTGCGAGGGTGTCCAGTACTGTAAGGCTGCGCTTTGGAAAGACGTTATTTAAAAACGTTTTGTTTCGGCCCAGTGCAGATGGGCCTAACAATATGCCTCCCTGAGTCCATCAGAAAATAAGAAGTATTACGGACTGAAAATAGAATAATTCAACTAAGGGAAAAAACAAGTTAAATTAGTTATTCAGTGGAGCTTTAAACTTCGACATGTCTGAAATTTTCTATAGCGTTTCTGTTATTGATTACATATAAATTTCTTAATATTTAATAATTTTCAAAAAATTATTAATATGCAAATAATATCATATTAAGATGTAAATCATGTCTATTTACCTCTTTTGCAATCCAAGGTGAAGTTTCCCACTTCAAGAAGTGTCACATTAACTTCTACATATCTCTAAATACTCCAATGATACACATACAATTGCATTCCAATCACAATCAAATTTGAACACAATCCAATTTAACAGCTTAATAATTAATTTAAATTCCGGTTTTTTTTAACTTGTTAATTTATTAATGTTAAAATTTATTGAGAATATTGAATAACAAATTTGATATCAACAAAATTTATATTATTCCTTATGCATGCCGAAAGATCCGTAACAATAAAGTAATGATATATCATCTTACCCTCACACACTCAAATAATTTAAGAGAAACAAACAGGATGAGACATCTCAATTTTAATTGAAACTCATGGAAATGAGATAAAATGGCAGGACTTAGCTCAATTCAAATAATCCACTATAAATTATGAGTACACATAACTAGTGATGTGAAAGAGCCGAACACCCTCGTTAACAAGCTCATGAGCCGAGCTTATCGAACCACAAACTAATCAATTTGCTTGATTTGATTATTAGCATGCAAAATTTAAAGATCATTCAATCCACCAATTAATTTCTCAAAGTTTTTAATATGATTTAAGTAATTCATCTAACTCATTTGGACCCAAGTCCCAAAACTTTTTTTTTTAATGTTCGTAGGTTTGTACCATCGAAACATTCATATCAACTTTTTTTATGTCCTTAAATTGGTATCATCAAGTCATTCATACCTGCAATAACTTTGCTAAAATCTCAATTAAGTTGGTCCTGAAGTTGGCTCAAAAAATAATTAAGTGATTTTTTTAATAATGTATAAAATGTCAACTGGTTATACACCAAATTGAAATTTATTAATTTATTTTCTCATGCAAATTTAGAAATTAATATGCAAAATTAATTATTCATTTGAATCTTTAGTTTATTTATTATTATTTAAGTATTTGTTCATTTATTTTAAGCAAACTAATTGCAAGCAAATACAGCTATAATTAGGAAAAAGCTTTGAACAACTCAAATGTGAATATAAATGTAAAACCTAGATTTGAAATTAAATTTTAACAAGATAAAGTCAACTATGACAATCTTACTAAAATTTTCCTTGAAGTCGTCGCCTTTCTCATTAATCAGAAGAGAATTTTCTTTTAAAAAAAAACATCAACTTTGCGCAAGCATGAAGCTCACATGATGAAAAGTTTTGTCTGTTAATTGTTATGGTTGACCGCAACAAATGTGAGGACAAAGTACTTCAAAATATACTAATTGCTTTTATGTACAAAGTCAACTTTGGAGGCCGGGAGCTATAACCCGAGAGTACAGAAATTAAAGTAAAATTTAGGATAAGTCTAATTAGTCTGTTTGCCTAGCAATAAAGCAAGGAAATTTAGGATAAGCCCAGCTGACAAAAATTAAAAGCTTATATCAACATAATTTATTAGAATTCTACACATTTCATAGGCATTTTAAATTCTCAACAAAATAACAATTTAATTTTCTTGTTCAAAATAAATTGAAGTAAAATTACCTTCATCCAAAATAAGCCATTAATTAAAAACAATCGAATGTGACATTAGTTAAATTCATAGAAACTCATATTGATAATTGATTTGTCCCCAAAAAATCATCTTGATCGAGCATGAATCTGGATATACATTGAAAACGAAAGATCTAAATATTGAATTTAGAACTACCTACACACCAATTTAAAAGAAGTTTCTCAATGAGTGAACTAAATGACATTAAAAATTATTTGATCTAAGTCCAACGAGACCAAATCATGCACTTAAGCATGAGAAAAAGCTTTGAGATAAATTTTGGCGAACTAAAAGATCTATAAATCTGAAAAGCTTATAGTCAAATTAAAGTCTCGACAAGACGAATTCAATGAGCCCAAAATAATTTAACTATGACTTCATTAAAACACTCAAATAGTTATAAAACATCATCTTATCAAAAAAATCACTTCTGGTCGTGCAATAGAGAGCTCTGGATTCAAATAGTATTTATAGAGGATACCACTCACTAATCACAAAATCTATAAATAAATCACCGCTTTTTAAGAACGGGGATTCAACTTAGATGAAAAGACTGAAGTAGTTTGAAATTGGATCACCATTGGCCTGATGATGCCACAACTGCCACTACAATAGCCAGTCACAATTGTCTTCAGACCATTAGAGCACGGCTAACATCATTGTCTTAGTTAGACCAACATCGTTGAATCGTTATTATTAGATCATTGTTGCACGTCTTTCATTATTACTATTGTTGGATATATCATAGTTGCCTGACAACCATCGCCATCGATGGCTATTGCTACTATTGTTATTGGATCATGATTTCCAAGCGGCCACCATCATTAGTGATGAAAAATCCAAATCTTCATCATTCATCCCTATTCAGCAATCTTTCATCACATTTTATGTCTCTTCTTTAATGAAAGCCAAATTCTCTCATTTCTTGTAATACTATTTTCTATTGCTCAAGGATAAGTCAAATCTGCTTGCAACATACATAGAACAATTTCAACTAGTTTACCATAGTAATTTTTCTCCCATTTGAGCTTTTCACGTAAAAAAACCTCGTGGACTTTCAACTCTATTAGCTCTTTGTTTATGTATAAATGTGATTAATTTTTGTGGAATGCAAAAGGGTCAGTTTGGGACAGCTATAACTATTTGAAAAAATAATTGTGAAGCTACTGAAGAAGAAACTTTCGTTTAAAAAGTTGTGGTGACAATTACAAAATTTTTTTAAAAAAATTTACAAAGTGCAGCTTTTAATTAGGTACTGCAAGTAGTCATCCGGTGACAAAATGCAACTTTCAGTTGCAGCTTTTTAAAAATAAAATGTTATTTAGACAAACAGAATGAACTGTGGTACAACACCGCCACCACACCATAATCCCAAACTCATCCTAAAATATTAATATAATTCTACTGACGTGAAACCTTTAACAAACAACACATAAAAATTCTGGTGACGTCGCTGTCCACTTATTTTAGATGCCTATGTGCTTGATATTAATACATTAATATATCTATCATTCTGAATTTTTTGGCATATAATAATAAAATAAGAATGAAAATAAGTAAAAAATGTAGGATAGAAAAGTATGCTTAATTCAATCAAAATGAAGTAATATATTTCACTTATACAGCTACGCGTTACATGACTTTTAATTTTCTATAAAACTGACTGCTAAGCTGACATATTTATTGCAAAAAACAATTTCGAGAGCTAGCTTTCTAAAAGGGACGAAACATGGTTCAATCACATGAAACACATTATTAATTAATTAATTAATTACTGGGCGACGACTTTCAGGATAAAGACATCTTGAGGTGTTTGGTAGCATATTATCTATGAAATTTAATCATGAATTTAATTTAAATCATGTTAAAAAAAAAAATTAAATCCAATATACCCTTAATTAAAATCTCTCACGTTTTTTCTATCTTACTACGTAAATCCAAATCTATTAAATTCATCCCTAGGGCCGTCAAAAAAGCTCGTTGTTCGCGAACATTTCGTGTTCGGTTCGTCAATGAGTTTGTGTTCGATTTGTTCGATAAGTAGAGGAGACGAACATGAACAAATTTTTTTCGTTCGGTTAGTTAAATGAACTAAACACGAACAGCGATGCGTTCATTCGTGGTCGAATCGTTATTGTTCGAAATATAAAATAATTTAAAATAATTATATATAAAAAATTTATGATATTCAAAAAATTAAATTTTATAAATTATAATATATAGTAAAAAAATAATAATAGTATATTAATATACTATATTAGTAATATACTGATATATATATTATATATTTATATAATATAAGTTATATAATTAATTTATATATATTAATATTAGGGATGTCAAACTGGATTGTTGTTCGCGAACAGCTCGTGTTCTGCTCGTGTTCGGCTCGTTCGTTAAGAAACGAACATGAACAATAACTTCACGAACAATTTCAAACACGAGTTTATTTCAAACAAACTAAATTTCAAACGAACCAAACACGAACACAAGCTCTGTTCGTTCGTGTTCGATTCGTTTACACCCCAATTTATGGGAGATCGCTCGAGATAAATCCCCAATTTGACAAGTCAACGTAAATTTAAGTCTCCGGCAAACACCGCCTAAAGAAAAATATTCAAATCCACCGTCAAGAAATGAAGCAAGAGAGAAAAAGAAGAACTCACGATGATCTCAGCAATGACGCGTGGCTGGCGAAGCGGGCGGAGCACGAAGGCGAGTCCTCGAGTAACAAGGACGACAAGACAGATCTGGACGATCGCCAGCGGGTAATTGAGCGGGTTCTCTCCTTGCCATGCTCCGTCCGAAGTCGCCTTCATCGGCGCCGGACAAACCGCCGCCGTACCATTTCCGGCCGCCGCCATCTTCGATTCCCCTTCTTTTCAAATCGGAAACCTCTCACAATAAAAAATTCAGGTCGGAGAAAATCGATTTGGATTTAGTGACGGAAGAGGGAGAAGACGACGCCCTCTCTGATCGATTGATTGATATATAATCTATTTATTGAGGAGAAATAATTAATCGGAAAGCGAGATTAGGGTTTGAGATCGATTTGAGGAAGAGAGGTCGGACCGATTTCTCAGGGCGGGAAATGATGGTGTGTGGAATTTCAGAAAGCAAATCGATGAGAATTATTTCGTAGAAGACTGGCGCCTTTTATAGTAACGTTAATTCGGCATTCGGTCTGCCTATGCCTCCCACTGTCCCATCATTAAGGAAAAAATTATTAAAATTATTACTTACGTTCATCGCATGTAAAAATATTTACGGTGAATTAACCAAAATACTCTATTTACTAAAATAAATGTAAGTCGGCTCCGCTTTAATTTTTCTTTAAAAAAATTTTCTTATCGGACCGCGCACGTGCGCTATCGGCACAGAATAGAAGCTCAAAATTAAGGATCCGTTTGGGGCACCTCATAAGTGTGGGGGGGTTTTTGAAAACGCCAAAGTACCATTTGAATCACATGTTTTGCCCATTTATCCGAAAATGTGGTTCCATTTTTACTGTAAATACAGACCGCGGGTCAGACCATGCGGTCGACCTGCGGGCCGCAATGATAAGCTGTTTATCCATAAACACACAAGCTGTCCCAAACACATCCTAAATTTAGAGAAAATTACGTGCATTAACTCCAAAACATTGATATTTACAACTAAAACAACGAGGTAATTTTTTGGAACTGCCAAAATCAATGCATTTACACGTGACAGGCCACCACGATCAAATTATTAAGAATTTGAAAAATGAAAAATATGCGTTAGGATTTTACCATGAAGTTTAATATTTGAGTGAGAATTTAAACAGTGAATAAAACAGGATGATTGATTAATAAATGATAAGTTTGGGGCGATCTCTATGTAATTGCCCCTTAAATTTTTCAAACCTATATAAATTTATTTTTTTTATTTTATTAACCTTTTATTAATAAAATAAAAAATGTGAAAACCATGCCTTAAGTAATTTTCTTATTAGAAAAAAAAAGGGAAATTAGAGGTCATATAATTTAAATAAATGAAATAGAACATAATTAGAAAAGAAGGTTGTTTATTCAATATTAGAAATCCTTGCACATAATTTTTTAATAAATAAATAAATAAATGTAATTTTTCAATGTAATAAATACTATATCTTGAATTAATATCTTAGACACAAAATAAGTATTTATATATAAATATTATAATTTGGAGAACCTCCAAAAAATTATATAAATGCTATATTTAATATTTAATTTAAATAATATATTTGCAATTTTAATTTTATTTATTTATTTGATTTTAACCCCCAAAAATTTATTTTTCATCACTCAATTAAATTCAGTTAATTCAGTTGTGTTGGACTATAAAATATTGGCTTAGCTTTCAAATCAACTCACTTTATAGTTGAACAACTTAGTCATGATGCAACATAATTATGTTGTTAAAACATATTTTTCTCTTTTAAGTGTACGAATTTATGTAACCACATCGAAGAAAAGCCAACCAAAGCCTAGAAATAGTGAAGGCCTTTTAATGAAGAAAAGGGAAACATAAACTTTTTATGTCCAATCACATTAGGTTAAATTTTAATAAGGAGTACTTAATGATTATAATTTAGTAAAATAAGCTTTTGTTAATTAAAATATAAAAAGGAGCATAAACGTAACTATGATTTGTGTTTTTCAGGTTTTTAATTGTTTTTTAAAAAATATAAGTTTTGATACGTCATCAATAAATTATTATTATCGGACACAAATTTCAATGAATTTTTTAATAATAAATATTCCAGAATTAAATAAAAAATCTTCTAACGCCCCAATTTTAGCGAGTTTCTAGTTAAACTGGCAATCTCGACAAGACAAATTCAATGGTACCAAGTTTGCTCAGATATGAGTCTAATCAGGTCATTAAAACACTTTCCAAGATTTTGGATCTTCAATTGGGTGGTTAGATGTACTACAAATGACATATCTCAAATCGAGTGTCTCAATAAGAGATGAATCCAACAATCATAAACTCCCTTTATTTTGAGACCATAAAGGCTCTCAAATCATTAATAAGCTCCTTATGATCAATATGAATCAATATAAAATGTTTGATCAAGTTCTTACAGTAGTTATACATCAAATAACCAAAATGCCCCTCCCTTGGTACCCATAAATAGGCGCCTCCCTTCACTTGAAGGAGGACTCAAATTTTAGTTGAGTTTGAGACCGAAGACCCAATGATAACTCTTGACCTTCGTAGCGGGGAGGAGTTCTAACTTAATGAATAATGACAATGTCTCCATGGAACAACATGAAGATTTACGCTAATGTTTTAATTTGATACTTCCTACGCTACCCATTCGAGTGCCTTGATTATTGTTCCTTTTCATTATTAAAATGGAAGATTTGCACATATACCACATAATTATTGGGTATTTATTTAGCAAAAAGTTATATTTAAATTTTTACATTTCTCACATCTTATTATCATAAATTTTAACATGAAAGGATTTAGTTTACTTTAAAAAAAGTAACAATTGTGAGACATTTGATATATTGAATATTATAAATGTAGATATAAAATTTTAGGTGATAGATATGTAAATAAAATAATGATATGGTATGTATGTGAATGACCCAATTATATTTCATATTTTTTTAATATTTTAATAATAAAATAAAAATGGGAAGCTCGAACAAGCTAATGCATCGTTTTAAATACACTTAAGTGTCTGTTTGGGGTAGCTACAACTTATTAAAAAATTGATGTGAAACAGTTGTGACAGGAAGCTGCTGCAGAGAAACTGACAGTTTGTTTCTTTTTTTGCAGTTTCGAAACAACTGTGAAACAGATATGTTGCAGTTGTTTCTGAACAAATAACATTTTTGCCTATGTAATATAATGATGTTTAAAATAAATTATTGATATTAGTACATTCTATACTAGAAAGATAACATTCAGTTTGAACGTTACAAAGTAAAATCAAACAACTCACATAAATGTCAGTAACACGACAATCAAAATTAAAATAAAAGACTATTCTTAAGCTCAGTGCAAAAGGAGGCATCGCCCTTGTCCTCGGACACAACTCCTGCCGTGCCCTCACTTTGATCAACATCTCTCTTCTCTCTTACTGCAGGGTCAAGAAAAAGCTGATCGGCTCCTTCCCTCTTTGCGAGATCAATAAAGTCTGATGCATCGGACTGGGAGTCGCTCAAACCTCGACCAATTAATCATTAGAAGTAGGCTCGACATTGGACCTCAAAGCAGATGGTGTTGCAGCCTTGCCACCTCCTGCACCACCTGTCGAAAGGGTAGGTTTTTTTTCAATCAAAGTTAACTACTCGGTCGAAATCCACTTGATTAAGACTGATGTTTCAGAGGTAGAAATAAGAAGGTCTAAACTTGGAATCACTTTTAAGGGCACTTCTGCACCCTCCGGTGGCTTCTTCATCCTTGGCTCCTTAGTGGAAGCCTTGGCCTTTTTATCAACTTGTTGCCCAACCTCCTCGGCATACAAGACAACCCATAGCTCTTAAGCCATTTATTTGTACTTACCTCGGTTCAAAACATTGTTCACTGTGCCCTCACGAGTGTATTGGACGATGGATAAACTTTTCCATTCAACAAATGACACCAAGCCTCGCATATGGGGAGGAATCTTCTCTCACTTGTAGGTCCCTCCCAGATGGCAAAGTGGGAAAATCCCGATCTCTCGCTGACATTGGGATAAAGTTGCACTTTTGGTTCCTTACTTTATTCTCCACAACTTCATCTCACGTGAGGAAGCAAAGAGGTTGGGGTTGCATGTGGCTAAATGAGGAGGCTCCATTAAAGTTGTCAACTCAGCAGAGATGTCAATCGATGGAACGATTAAGGGAGTCAAGACCAGCATTGGGGTGTGGTCAGATACTCTAAAATTCTCTGTCATTTCTTTGGATGATTACAAAATTACAAAGTTGGTTGTCCTAGGAATGAACTTCTTGGAGCAAGCAAGAGCATTCCTAATTTCATTCGCTAATAGCATGTGCATCACGAAAGAAAATCAAATTTTAAGATTAAGCAAGAAAGGATCCAAAACCCTATCAGCAATCCAGCTCAAGGATGGCATTAACCAAGAAAAAGGGGACAACTTGACTATCCTTCACGATACCAATGAAGGAGAAAAGACTCAAGGAATTGGAATGCCAAGGAATGTGAAGGAGGTTTCTAATGAAACACTGTCAAGAAAGAAGAAAGATGGTTCAACAAGATTAGAGGAAAGGGATAAGCCGCCAGCCAAGAAGACTTGTTGCGTGAAACCCCTCTCGCATAACACCAGGGAGAAACTAAAGTTTTCCAAGTCTGGGGGCAAATCGAGGAGGCAGTTTCGAAGGTACAGGGGAAGCCGCAATGAGGGCATTGAGGGCTTAAGTAGGGGAGAGTGTTACGCCCTGCCATTTTCAAGGAAATGGAAAGACAAGCATGGGAAGGAAAACTCTAGAAGATGTGTGCATGGCAAGAACCTTCTAAAGCCAAGAAGGTGGATAAGAAAGTTCCACACAATTCTAGAAACTTCTACCCAATTTTAGAGGTCAAAGGAAGATAATACTCCATGAAGAACTAAAGAATGGAGCATCGAGAGTTCAAGAAAAGCCTAGAAGGATCTAGGATTATGTATTTATGCAAGAATTGTATGGAATACTCTAGAAAGTAGGGAATTCTAGAGTATTCTCATGGCTTTGAGGGTGTCTATAAATAGAGGTCCATCCCCTCATTTGTAATCATCTAAGAACTCAATCAAAGCTTCAAGTATTCAAGTGTGAAGTGTTTTTTTCTCTCAACTCTTCTTTTTAAGAGTGCTTTGTGCTTACAAGTCCAAGCGTCGTGAAGATTAGGTTGATTTGATGCTAAAAGAGAGCGATAAAGTCGCACCGGGTGACTTAGGGAAAGTTAGTCCGTGACATGTCGCTTTCCCTTACAAGTAAGACAT